AGTAGTAGTGGTAGTGGTAGTAATAATAATAGTAGTAGTAGTAGTAGTAGTAGTAGCAGTAGTAGTAGTAGTAGTAGTAGTAGTAGTAGTAGTAGTAGTAGTAGTAGTAGTAGTAGTAGTAGTAGTAGTAGTAGCAGTAGTAGTAGTAGTAGTAGTAGTAGCAGTAGTAGTAGTAGTAGTAGTAGTAGTGGTAGTGGTAGTAATAATAGTAGTATGCAGGTGAAAGCAGCCCTGGAAAGTATACAGTCGGAGTTGCTGGAGGCCGCTAGAGCCAAGCTGGAGGAAGGTATAGTGAAAGTGACGAAGTGGGATGAAGTTATGCCCGCACTTAACGCACGTAAACTTGTATTGGCGCCCTGGTGCGAAACGGAGGAAAGCGAGGAGGAAATAAAGAGAATAACGGCTGAGCAGAGCAAGGAGCAAGTGGTCGTTACTGATGAGGAAGGTAGCAGCATATAACGGGTGAAGGGGATTAGGTTAAAATAATATAGTGGAGCTTCACCCGTGATATGAAAAATATATCACATTAGCAGTGAATAACGCGTAAAACACGTGATGTGTTTTATGTGAAATGGTGTAATTCGCGAAGTACTTTCAATTCACTTCATATCGCGTTTTTTATATGGAGTATTGCGCCACTTCACGTAAAGCGGGTGAGACTTCATTATACTGTTGTAGTTGTGGTCAATGTTGGAGGAATATATGTTTGCTCTTTTCAGCTGAGCTTTGGGGTTTATGGCTATGTATAGGAGTTTATATATGAATACTCGGGCAGAAATGTGGAGAAATCAGGAATAATTTCCCGAAATTTCCTCTCAGAATTTCCACATTGTCATCGATATTTGTAGTTGATCGTGCATATTTTCCTATACTTGTTTGGGAAAATATGCGCGTGGTTAACTACATGCGTAGGTGATATTTGTGGGAATTTTGAGGAAAATTGAGGAAATTCTCATTGGTTTCTGTACGCTTCTACTCGAGTTCGTATTAGACGACGAATCGTATATAAACTTGTATAATTAGTGATGAAACTTCTGGTTTCAGCTGAGGAAAGCGAACACGTATTCCAACGCTGTGTTTGGGAACACAAGTTTGTTTACTTCCATATGGTCCCCATTGTTGTTGTTGTGGTCGTGACAGGTGGAGCTCCTGCGTTATCGGGCGCGATGAAGTCGTTGTGTATTCCTCTGGAGAGTTCTGGTTATCAACTACCGATGGCTGAGGGAACGAAGTGTTTCTTCACTGGGAAGCCGGCTAAGAGGTAGCGAAAGTGTGGTATGAATTTATTGGTATTTATTTTATGTAGGTGGTGTTTGTTCGGCAGAAGCTATTGAATGTAGTGTAGTGTTTTCAACGTTACCAGCAGGCACTGTGTAATCTACTGTCTTTGTTTCTCCATAGTATTTTCGTTGATTTGAGTTGTATTTAATAACGAAGCGGCGGAGCTTGCTGGGTTGGGGTTTGTTGATTCAATCAATGGAGTTTCACCTGTTGTGGGTGAAGTGGCGTGAACTCGGTGAAAACGTGATAATAGCGGTGATATGCAGTTGTCGTGTAATATATTTTTCACTAGTGTTTCTCATATCACGGGTGAAACTCCAATGAGTTCGATTCGATGTCCCCGGTTCGATCCCCGGCTTGGTCATTATTCCGTCAGAAAAGTTTTCGTACATATCTCTGCAAGTTGTTTGTTAAATAGAGTTTTGATATTTTGCGGAAATTTCGGTATATAGAGGAGTCATTTGATTTATCTGATGGCCTCCTACGCTTCGTAAATTTGCCAGAATAATTCTGCACGCACGCACAACTCGAAAGTGCCTGTTGTTGCGGTATATGCTCCGCTCGCTTCGCTCGTTCCGCAACTTACTATCCTTTTTATGAATATGCTATCTTCTTCTTCTTGCACAGCGCCCCTTCGAGCAGGCGAGCAATAGCCAGTATAGAGGTATAGCTGCAGGCTCAGTCACTGCTGTCTGAGCCTGCAGTATGAACCGGTAGATAGTGTGTTACACGGTAGAGAGTTCGATGAATAGGAATGCTATAACTATACTATATAGATTACATTACTAGTATTTATTATACGACATCCTTATATAGGATTTTTTTTATATTGTTACACCCTGTGATGGGGTATTGTGTTGGTTTTTGTGTAAGTTGTCTCCTTGACTATTCCTCGGTGTCGCAGTGCATATTTTAGTCTAGCGTCAGATGAGACTACTATTGATTTTATTGATTATTAGGTTCTTTTTATAAGTTCTCTAGTGTGGCGTTTTCTGAATGGTAGATATCGAAGGTGTAACAAACCCCGACATGCATATGTGAATGATGGTGTTATAGAACAATATTGAACCTAGTTTTCCTTGGATCACTCACGTAGGAGAATATTCGGAAGCCTTTTGTTGGCGGACGTATCGTGCTCGCTTCTTGCGATAATAGTATCAGATGTCACTCATGTGAAAAGTGTGGAAAAGTGCGCACATGCGCAACTATATATGTTGGTCTCATTGTTTCCTGTACACTACTATTCGTACATGTATATTTACCTTTGTAGTTGCTGAGAAAATCCCCACCAACTTTGTTAGTTTCACCGGTGTCAAAGTAGGCCAACTCAATATCAGTCGATTCGGGAATGATGATAATGACAATCTCAAATCTATCTAGGGGTTGTCCAGCATGCTTCGTGATGGTTATAAGTATCCAATGACGAGCGGAGGCTACAATGAAAGATATGAATAACGCACACAGAAGATACCACTAAGCAATAGGTTGAAATAGGTTAGTTATTATTCAGATAACGTCGGTATGTTACAGCTCAGCTGAGGAAAGTGAACGTATATTCCTCCAACACTGTCAGTGAAACGAAATAGATATATTTGCCTATTCTTGCTCCCATCCAAGGATCCTCCTACGCCAACCCATATTGCAGCTCCCGTCCATCGTGTCCTCTTCCTTGCACCATTCCACTCGGAGAGGGGTGGCTCCTGTCGTGTTAACCTCCTAATCTCTTAATCGAAGTTCATCGTCCTTTCCACTGGAATGGTCAATTCTAGAATGCATTGTTTTATAATTTCATGATGACCCTTTTGAGAGTCGACAAGCACAAGCATTTCAAACGTGTCGTGGTGTCAACGGCGAAGCGATTCAAGTAGGAGCACGCAACCGTTGAACTGCGTGTTGAAATATGTGTTCGCTTTTCTCAGCTGAGCTCAGGCGTTTTCTCAATAATTGTAAAAGTTTACATACAAATTCGGGTAGAAGTGGACAGAAATCAACGATAATTTCCTCACAATTCTCATATTGTCACCAACACACGTAGTTGAACATGTGCATATTTTCCCACACAAGTTTAAATTGATCTCTTGCTAGGAGCACCCATCTCCACACCGACCAGGAGCCGACTGACGTTGCAAGTGAGATCGCTTCAGATCTCGTAGAGTGTACCACGTTTTACAGGTGTGTTAAGATTCACCAAGGAAAAATCGCGAAGACAGTGGTTCCGAGAGGTAGGGCTTTCTCGAGAATCTGAGCGCTGTTAGTGATTTCCCCATTGAAATAACACTACACTATACAAAATTGCAGGAGAAGGCTCAACGAGACCACCTGGTTATTCTTAACCGATGTAGATCATAACCTCACCTCCTTCCCGATAGGGACACATTGTGTGCTACGGGAACTACTGTGTGTGCGTTTTTCTTATGCAAATGCGTGAAAATTCGATTTCTCGGGTAACACGGCGAATATTCATATAATAGCAATAGTAGTATGACGGCCGTAATGATTGTGCACCAGCAGCATCTTCTCGAGCGAATCTCAACAGTGTTGAGATACATGATCGCTTTCCTCAGCTGAGTTCAGGAGTTTAGGAGTTCATATATACACATTAGGTTAGAAATACACAGAAATGGGCGAGAATTCACAAAATATTTCAACAGAATCTTCATATTGTTACCAACGCATGCGCACTCAGGTGGTGGAGCGTGGAGGGCTGACGAAAGCGTATGATATTCCTGGTTGTTTTATTATGTGTCCGCCCAGTATGTTCATCTGGAATAAAATAAAAGGCAGAGTTACGGACGAAATGCGCGGGTGAAAATTTGCGTTTTTTCCTCGACATATTGTTGTTGGATTTAGAATTGGAGTGAAGTCATGCTACTTCCCGTTATTCGTATTAAAACAAGTCCGGCCTGAGACGGTTTCGTCTGAGGAGTGTTTGCCTGGGGTAGTCACCAAAGCTGGGGAATCGAAACTCAACGAGCTCGTGGGTGGGTCTACAGTATAGCTATCCAAGGTCAAGTTGTTTTTTACGACCGCAGTATCATTGCGCGCGTCCCTGGTTGAATTGAAGTCGTAAAATTTCAAATGAAAAAACGGGTATGAGATCAATTTTTTTGGTATCTTTGGGTGGAATGTTAATGAAAAAGGTCAAACATAAAGCAAAAGGGGAAGAAATTAAACTTTTCGGGAAAAAATGCATCCGATCTGGGGATGCTGTAGAGTGGCTGCTACTGAAAGAATTTAGTTCGTGGTATTCAGAGACGCGTTTAGCATGCGATGAGACTGCGAGACGGTGCGCGTCGGACTGGATACGCTCTCATCGAAACCTGCCGTTGAAACTGAACCATTGGGGTAACTCGATTAGGTAATTCGGTTACACCTCGAGGTTGTCATTCACGAGGTTTAAGGTTCAATTCCCGGTGGCGGCATCTTCCTTTTCTCAAATGCCGGGAGGTTCTTCAGCAGGAAGGATATGCTGTTCACGGAACTCTCGAGCAAGTACCTCCTCACCATTCACCCGATCAGCCTTTAAAAATTTTAATAACAATAGACGAATCGTCTTCTGCAGGGGTGTTCGTTCCTCAGACAGAGATGTTCATTACAGACCTTTTCACTATTTACCGCAAGGTATTCGAGGAACTCCTCGCTCTACCAACAGAGGAAGGTCATTCGAATAGTGAGATGGGTTACCTAGAGGCTTAGGATCTGAGGCTCCCCAGCGTTACATTGCACCTTTCGTATAACGCGCAATGGGTACAGTCCGCAACATTTCATGGGAGGATCCTCCCCTCAAGGTCCAGACACTCGGACGTTCATCACATAGTTCCCTCAGATGGAGTAAATCGATGGCTTGATGTTCGTGTTGGTGATAAAGACACTATACGAGTCTTGACGGTCGCGGTCCGTTACAATGACAATATTTACTACGAAGATAGGTGGGGAGTAGTTTTGGAGGAATTCATGTTTGCTCTCCTCAGCTGAGCTCAGGAGTTTCCTCACTAATTATAGGAGTTTATATACAAATTCGGGTAGAGTCTACGAAAATTTCGCAAAATTTACTCGAAATTTTCATTTTATATTCGCGAATTTTCCAATAATGGTGTGAATAACTCTGGCTATAAAATTTATCGTTCAGTGATGGCTCCCGAAATAGCGCTCATTCGATTACTTGGTGCATCGACTTTGGTGTGATCGGCGCGATGGTTATGGTCCATGGTGACAACAGGGGTCTGATTATCCCACCAATGTAGATCTACCCTATGAGTAATGTCTGTATTGCTGATTTTCAGTGTGGCGGAAACACAGGTTGTGATTGTACCCGTACCCCCCTCTAGAGGAGTTGGCCCGACTCGATGGGAGATGGAGATGGACGCAATTGAAAATGAGTGCAGGGTGAGCGGCGTATGCGATGAACAAATTGACAAAACTCGTTACCAATATTCTCGCACTAACGATGAAGAACTCCTCGCTGACGAGCTCCCACACACTACCACTACAGCCGGTGTTCTCAGTAGGAAAATATGCATATGGTCAACTACTACATGTGTCGGTGGCAATATGAAAGTTTTGGGAAAATCGTGTTGTTCTTTGACCATTTCTACCCTAATTCGTATATAAACTGCTGGAGCATACATACTAATACTGTGCTGACTTATTGTCCTCTGGTGTGAATCGATCAACTTCATTTTCCAGGAGCTGCGTGACATTCTATTGAATGATGGAGCCCGCTGTGTTCTCGATGACGATCGG